GACGCAACAACTGCCTTGAGAACCTGAAATGTGGGACGTGGATAGGTCAACTGGATCGTCACGCCACGAGTCTCGTGGAGCCTTGACGTAACCGATGTACATGCCACGGCAAGTGTTTGCAAACAATCAGATGACGTCACACACCATCGTATTTCCGACAGCAGCTGATTCAAGGATGCAAGCGGCGCGTGGCTGTGACGCTGTGCCTGCGGGGACGCGTGACTCTCGAGCATCATCTGAGGTTCAAGTAACTTCTTCGTCCCAACCCGCACTCAGGTGCAAAGGGCAATAAACAACGTATAACTGGAGGGGCGAAAGTCCATTCCTGGTAGCTGGTCTGCCCTGCAGAACGGTGGTTACAAACATCTACCCCCCAGACACTGCAACTTGAGAGCATGGTAACAAAGCAGTAGCTGGAGGCAGTATGTTCCTCTTTAACGATGACATCTACCCACAAGTCCCCAAAGGATGAGAGGAACCCGAATACCGAGGATATTATGTAGGGCAAAAGATTCCAGCAGTCGTATTTTTAATCCTTGTAACCGATCGATGATAAATTGTGGGATGCAGGACTGTCCATCTCATTCTAGTTCCGAGATTAAAAATACGTCCGTCTTTACTTCATTCAACCCAGTACGCCTCCATGGCGTGATAAATTTTTTTTTCATCATACGCAAAGTGCTTACTTAATTCGTGGAGTGCGTATAATAGATATTAATAGTATTATTACAAGCCTGGAAATCACATTTGTGTGCGGTGTCGATCCACGTCGTAATCATCGCCTGACTGAACGGACTTCCATACAATTTAATTAAAATCTACAGAAAAGATTTGCATGTTATTTCACGCCTGGCTGAATAGGCAACACAACTGACGCCACAGGCAAAAGAGCTGCCTACATTGAACTCTGTTATCAGGAAACGCTGAATGATCCAACAGCAGCAGCAGAAGATTTCGATGCTAAACGAAGTTCGACGTTGTGCTGGTGAATACACCATGTTCGCACCTGAACCTTCACCCAAGTGTCACGGGGGAGGCTGGGATAATATATTTAATACAAGGCGGTGGACGTGGTTCTTGATTTAATTTTCGTACCTTAGTACGTGTTGTTGGATTGCGTTTTAAATGGAACACCCTGTATAATGTAAACGTAAAGCTGTATAAACATAGGCTAACAGCCAGCTTACGTCAATGGTTGGAAATGGGCCAAAATAACACAGCTAAATCTAAATTTTAAATATATATGACTCTGATAAAAAGGCGATGGATCTTGTGCTACAGTTTAAGGGACAAAATAAAACTCATTTAAATCAGTTCTTTCTGCTAATGACTGTATAAAATCCAGAGTAAGACACTCTTCGTCCCATGCGGCAAGATCCTTCCGGGTGGAACATTTTGTAAGGCAACAGCTCACAGCCTTTTATTTTTAAATCCTTGGGCCGATAAAACAGCGAGTTTTCAAAGAACCAGTACCTGTGTGTCTCGCATTGTGCGGTACATACAATTGTCTACAATATAATTATTCCAATTACAGCAAGGCAAAAAGTAAAATTAACAGTTATACGTGTTATTAATCAATTGAATTTCGAAAAATAGAGAGAGAGAGAAAGAGGAAATTGGTGGGGGGGAGAAGTGAGAGACACTTCGATTTGGGGGGGGGGGAGAGCAAT